GCTGTGATTATACACCAGTTGCCAGTCAACTGTTGGTCTTCTCCCCCAGACACCTCCAGGAGATGATGTGCCACAAATTCTTGCTAGTTAAGAAGTTGCCTCTAGAAGAATTTTTTCAGTCCTCATCACAGGTCCATTTTAGCTTGCAACAAGCAGACTAGTGTGCAAATCTGGATTTTGGTGCTCGCGTTTGCCTCTGTTAGAAAAGCCAGGTAGCTTTTGAGATGTGTGCATGTATATGTGTGTGTGTATGCACTTATATATATGGAGGTTTTTCTTGAGAAGTCTGTGTGATGTGATGTGGCATAGCCTCTTCCCTCTTCATGAGTCGACTAAGTCTCACACAGTTTGCTGCAAGTGGCTGTTTGGTAATTGCAAACCCAACAAGGCCGCTCTGTACTTTGTGAAATAGTTATGGGATCTGAATGACAATTAGTTGTGTTTTTTTCTAAAAGGTGTGGTCATTGTCAAAGACTAACCCCTGAGTGGAAGAAAGCAGCAACAGCATTAAAAGTAAGTTTAACCTTTCAAATGTGCTTGTGGCAGTGGATTGAGGAGAGTTTGGCTGTTTGTCATCTGGCTTGGGAATATGGAGGTGGATTTTGGTCCCCAAAACCATATCACTTTAATCATACTTGTCCAGCTAGAGAAGTGGCCAATCGGAAGCACTTAAAAAGCTAGGATTTTTGTGGGTTTTTTCTTTTTTAAAAGAAGCCATTGAATTGAAGGGGAAGCAAGTCAATTCTGTCCCTGTGAATTCCCATTACTGTCTTCTAGGCTCGCTTTTACCAGCACCAGAAGACATTAGAATCCAACCATCCCCCAAAATAGCATGTTTCTCTTTTCTTCCTTGCTGTCCTGTCACCTGCCTCTGAAGTACAGGAACAGCATGAACTGAATATATGAAGACAGCTTTGTAAGCTGTTGGTGATGAGTATTTCTTTAATTACAGAAAACTTGGTCATGTAGTGATTTGCTGAACTCTTGCCTATGTAAAATATATTCCCCTTCTTAAAAACAAGCAGGAAAAACCCTAACAAACAAACAAAAAACACAAACAATTTTAAATTTTGTTTGCCAGGATGAAGAAAGAAATGGCCATATATGGTGTTCTGTAGTTTAATGCTTTTCAGGGGATAACACCTCTCTTCTGGTTACTGTTTTCTTACCCTCCTAATAACTCTCTCTCTCTCTCTCCCCCCCCAGCATGCAGAGAGTATAAAATGTGATAAATCACTGTAGAAGTCTTGTCTTAGCTTTTGTTTTTATTTCCATAGGGTGTAGTGAAAGTAGGTGCAGTAGATGCAGATAAGCATCAGTCCTTGGGTGGACAGTATGGAGTCAGAGGGTTTCCAACTATCAAGATATTTGGAGCCAACAAAAACAAAGCAGAAGATTATCAGGGTAAATGTGATGCTCTTTCATGTGTTGCAGGCCTAAGAACTTCCCTGAATACAGTAATTATGGTAGCTGTTAATGCTGTCTTGTGTGGTGTTTACTTCCTGTCTAGTGCTTGTAGTAACTGAGAGACAGATGGGTGGGACTTGTTTGACCAAATTGTGCATGTCTTAGCATAGGCTAACAGTCCCACGTGCAGTTTGTAGCTGGTGGATGTTGCTAGGCAATTCCAAAGAATTATTCCTTTCTTTCTGTTTACTGGGAGCTTGACACAGTCACCTCCCATATCAGATAAGGTGGTTAGTTTAAAAAGTGGAGTGAAGTCAATCCTGCTGCTTGTGTTTTAAGTCAGTGATGTCCTACCACTAGTACCATATCACTCATAGCCCAGTTCTGCTTTTCCTGAAAAACCCTTAGGGTGAAGGAGTATTAAGTTTGTAATTAAGTCAGGGGCCTACCTTAAACTGGCCTTACGATGCTTTCAACACTCATTTTGCTGTGTTGCAGGTGGCAGGACAAGTGATGCCATTGTCGATGCTGCTCTAAGTGCTCTTCGGTCCCTGGTGAAAGACCGTCTTAGTGGCAGAAGTGGAGGATACAGTTCTGGGAAACAGGTATTTGAGGGAATGTGTGGGTTTGTTTTCAACTGGAGACTGTCCTGTACAGGAGATCAGGGCTTGTGCTCCTGACTCTGTTCACAGAATAGTTGAAATTGGAAGGGACTGCTGGAGGCTGTCTAGTCCAGCCCCCTGCCCAGTGCGGGGTCAACTAGAGCAGATTGTTCAGGGCTGTGTCCCATCAAGTTGTGAGTATCTCCAAGGACTGAGACACCACACACTGTGCTCTTTGGGCAACCTGTTCCAGTGTTTGACCACCCTCACAGTAGAAAAGTTTTCTCTTATGTTTAAATTAAATTCTTGTATTTCAACTTACGCCCTTACTTTTTGTCCTGTCACTGGGCAGAGAAGAGTCTGCCTTTGTTTTCTTTACTCCCCTCCACTCAGGTATTTATATACATGGATAGGACCCACACTGAGCCTTCCCTCTTTCCAGCTGAGCAATCCCAGCTTTCTCAACCTCTCATCATATGTCAGATGCCCAAAGCCCTTAATCAGCTTTGACCTTTGGCTGGACTTGCTCCAGTGTATGCATGCCTCTTATACTGGGGAGCCCAGAACTGGGCCCAGTACTCCAGATGTTTCACACAGTGCTGAGCAGAGGGAAGGATCACCTCCCCAGACCTGCTGGCAACTCTCTGCCTAAAGCAGTTCAGGAGGCTGTTGTCTGCCTTTGCCACAGGGGTACATTGCTGGCTCATGTTCAACTTGTCTGCCAGGACGCCCAGGTCCCTCTCTGAAAAGCTGCTTTCCAGCTAGTCAGTCCCCAGCATGTACTGGTGCGTGGGTTTATTCTTTCCCGGGTGCAAGATGCAACTTTGCATCTCCCTTTGAACTCCCTGTTAGCCCCATTCTCCAACTGGTTGAGGTACCATTTGCCTAGTCCTAGTCTTAAGATAGGTGGATGAGGTTTTTTAATTTGGTAGTGTTCTTCTGAAGTTGGCTTGCTTGATTTCTCCCTGAAGGTAAATTGAAAAGCTTCTGGCTCCTACTACTATTTGTAAATCATGGAGTAAGTACACTCTGACATCCTCAGGTTGGCCAGATAGAAGAGCTGGGTGGACTGTACCCTGCAGTGTGTGTTGCACTCACGTGTGTGTTTTGCCTGGAAACCAGGGCACAGTGGGGTGGGGGGGGTTGGAGAGCGCTTTATTCTCGAGCAGATCAGAATGTGAAGAACTGGGGAAGTGTTCCCACATCTTCTTGTTAGTCAGTTTGACCTGATTTCTCTTTTTAATTTTTTTAAGAGAAGAAACTTGCTGTTTCTTGAAAGTGCTGTGGGATTAGGCTGTGTGTATTGTCAGTTCTAAAATGGGAAAGTTGTATGACCTAACACTGCCTGTTTTGTATCTCATTCAAATAAAGACCATTTGGTACAACATGACACACAGGAGATGGCTTGTGTGGGAAACTAATTTTGGTTACTTCTTATGTGAGGGTCTGTTTGTTTCTTACAGAGCCGAGAGAGCGGAGGTGGAGATAAGAAGGATGTGATTGAGCTGACTGATGACAGCTTTGATAAGAACGTCATAAATAGTGACGATGTGTGGATGGTGGAGTTTTATGCCCCATGGTGTGGGCACTGCAAAAAGTAAATGAGGTTTTTCTTTGACAATTTGGTTCCCATTAGTGCTTGGTTTTGTGCAATACCCTTAATCCCTTACAAGGGACCTTGCGTATCTGGTATATATTTAGCAAAACCGTGTGGGCTTCCCCTGCTCAGGGCACCTTGGTGCTGCTCTGGCTGCGCTCCTCCTTAGCAGTAAAATTCCCAGTTACCAGTGGAAATAAGATGCAGAAGTTACATTAATCTTTTCATTCCTTCAGATGCAGGACTTCAGTCTCATTTGGAATAACCCTCCTAGCTGTCATTCTCTGCAGAGACTTTTTTTTTCCTGAGTGGAGTATGCTACATAATGTTGGAATGTGGTATACTTTTGCTAGCTCTAAGAGAGCTTAGAGCACTCATACTCTTTGTTTTTCAGCCTGGAGCCAGAATGGGCAGCTGCTGCCACTGAGGTGAAGGAACAAACAAAGGGAAAAGTAAAACTGGCTGCAGTAGATGCAACAGTCAATCAGATGCTGGCAGGCCGATACGGGGTGAGTGTGCTCTGCAGTGGTTACAATTTCCTTTCCATCTCTAGCAAGTCAGATTTCCCTTTAATACTTGCTGAACTGTTCCTTAATCTGGTACCACTTAAATGTTTTTTGCTAAAAATAATGTGAAGTGACACATGCCACTTTTCCACAAGTAATTAATTTCTGAATGTCAGTAACAATATAAATAAATGGGGTGAGAGGAAAGGAATAAATCTGGATGTTGCTGATGAAAAAGGCTGTTTATTTCCATAAAGTCTTGTATAGCTTTATCATCTGAAGTGAGGGGTCTCTCCTTTCAGACTGTTTGTATGCTAGCTGGGCGTCTCCAGAACATACACATACCTGTACATCTTGGAGCCAGTTATCAGGGATCACTCCGACAGTATTAGCTGCCCAGAGCAGCTGTGCTGTGGGCCCAAAGTGAACTGATATTCTTTAATTTTTAATACAGTACAGGGAGCTTACAGTGTGCTGCTTGTTTCTCTGTCAG